TGACTGATACCACCAGAGGGCTATACCAACCTAGCTATCGTGGTTCAGCTGGGGGAATGGAAGCTGTTACCTCCATCTGCTGCGGAGGAGCCCTGGGGCTTCATTGAAGTGAGAGAGATTTCGGGCAGTTTGCTCTTTCATTAATGGGATATCTGGAGGGGATGTGGTATGGCTTTCAACCCTGTGCTCTGCAAGTTCAAGCACTGCCTTTGTCAGAAATCAAACAGCTATCAGGGAGTGTGTTGCTTCTCTCCTTGCATGGAGCATTTGATATTTGTGGGAATTGTGCCCTTAGTAACGGAGCAGTTTCTGTCTCCTGAAAGATAATACATAAAGTGATTACTTGCATGAATCACAAGCACTGGGCTGTGATTGCTGAACATGCTGGATCTCCTCAAGGGTGAGTTAGTATCTAAGGGTTGCAGGCTGTTTAACGTGGTTTCTGTGCCACAGCCCTAACTCACCTTTGCCTGTGCTGAACGGAGGGTCAGGATGTAGAGCTAAGCTGGGAAAACTGCCGTAGGCTTCAATAAGGTTTGTGATTATCTCCACTTTAACCTTCCTGGTTTTCCACAGCCCCTTTGATTACTGTGTCTACTTGTATTGTTGAAATAAAGCTTTTTGGCCAGGTATGCAAGACTCCAAGACTAGGGAGTCAAAGTATCTGAGTCTCCTGCAGACTGTAGTCTCCTGCAACGGGGGAAATTTTATGTTCTGATTTCTGTTCTCATTACTGTTCATTTATGTTGTCCAGCAGCTCTGTTGTGCGAAACGAATGGGCAGCTCTAGATAGTTTTGGAGAAGTACACCATACTGTACAAGGCATGGAAAGGAAGTGATGCAGACTGTCAGTGAGTAATAGGCATGACATCAAGGCATTCCCTACCAAGGTATAATTTCACCCACACCCAGAATTTGAAGTTACAACCAAGTTTTGGTGATGATGTTTAGAGGATGGTATGAGCTGGTGCTCGTACGTCAGCTGAGCCATTCCACAAGCATCATCTGATTTAAGTCAAAACTGACATTAGATGATCATTGTAGAAGGGACATCAGAATATAATAAATGAGTAGTCTCCAGGTGGTTGCTTTTGCCTCTCTACCCTCAGAGGTCAATGTCCCTGAGGTAGAAGAGAATCTGCAGTATCCTTTGTCTCTTTCACATCAGCATCGAAAATTGTTATTTAAGTCACTGTTGATGGTGCTTTGAAGTTAACTCTGGAAAGCTATAGGGCTCAGTCACCTTCAGTTGGTGGGCAGAAAAGGTACCTGGGGGCTGACCCCAGGTTGGTTATTGTTCTAACTAGATCAAAGGCAAAGTCTACTCAGGCCCTTAGCTGTATTTAAACAGTCCTAGTGGTGCAATTTTTGGTTTAGATTTCTCAAATATAGGAAGCGTTCACTGACGTGCTGTGGGTGCAACACACTTTTAGATTATACAGGCTAGCACAGTGAAGGGCTGATCTCAGCCAGAGCTTCTAGGCTATTATCATTCAGGAGTGAAAAGAAGTTAAAATATCATGTGAGCAATATAAAGTAAGCATCTTTGTGGTCCTCTGAGCTCATAGATGTTTTGCTGACCTTGGAAAGCTTTTCCAAGGAGATAATTTGAATGCAGCTTTTCCTTCATTGGTAAATTGTACTTAGAGTACAGGTATATATTATGACATACATTTAAAGAAAAAAAGATATTTAGGAATAGCACACCTGTTTCTACTCTTCCTCCATCTGCTTGCTGCAGTGATGCACGTTCTGTTCATTATGCTGGTGCTATAGCTTAGCTCAGGGTGTGAAAGTACCCTATGGCCTCAGTAAATGATCATCCTATGGCTTTAGCTGTTTTCAGGGTTGCTTGACACATACATCAGAATGGTCGCGTTGTTGGTATCGTTGCATTTTTGCTTTTCAGTATAAAAGCACTATTTCTTCTTTCCCCACACATGGAATCATTTTCAGGTTTCAGCTCCAGCTGCTTACAGACAAATGTTCCACAGTTTGAACTCAAAATCAGTATCACCTGGAATTTTAAAGGTGGGGATATTTTGCAACCTTGTTGTGTTGTAAGTTCTTCTAGTATTCTTCTCTAACAGGGCTTTTTTTTGGAGTATTTTCTGCAGTTTCCTTTTCTCAAGCAACATTTCTCTGCTTATTTCCCAGTACTAGCTTCCTACTCTTCTGCAGAGAAGATGGATGTGAATATGCACGGCCACCATCTTCATTTGCAGCAACTTTGAATACTTTTGCAGTTCTTAAAAACAGTCCATCAGAGCATTAAGCTGTAGTTCATGTTCTCCTGTAATTGATATTCTTGTGAATGATAGCCTCAGTTCCCTTTGACAGAGCACGGTGACTTCTCTCTGACAGTTTTCATGCACTGGTTTCAGATACAGTCTGGTTTATGAAGTTATTTTCCTTTCTCAACTGTGGTTCTCAGTTCTTCACTTGTGCTGATGCATCTGGTTTTAGAATTGAATCACTGAATCACGTTAATTGGAGGGAAGTAATTTGAAAAGGGATCATTTCAGTGATGCAATTTTTGTTGCAGCTATATAAATAGGCTTATTAGCACAGTTGAGGAGGAGGCAGATTGCATTGGGAGCATCAGAATTAGCAGTGAGGCTAGAAAGCTTGCTGAGGGAAAATTACTCAATTGTTGTTACAGGAGCTGAACTGTTTCCTTTGTTTTCTGTTGCTAGAAATGCCTTCCTGCCCCACCTTCTGCCCTCTTCCTCTATGTCAGGTATTCCATTTTTTAAGTCTTTTGTTGCAAAAGAGAAATGTTGCTGAAAACATTCATCTCTTGTACGAAGGCGTTTGTTTCCACTTCATTGTGTCGGCAAAGTGTCTTCTCTGAGTCCAGCAGTGATGGTGGCCCACTTGATTCTCCTTCCAGGCTTCTTCTGGGAGTCCTTGGAAGAAAAATGTGCACAGCCTGTGCCAATCTTTACATGCTGAGGTTCAAAACGTTTCATCTGGGCTGTTTCTTCGGGATGCGGGAGAGAAATATCACTCATTTGAAGGCCAGCTTAGAGTGGAGAGCACTTACATTGGCCCTGTTCCAGGGTACTTTACAGCATAAGAGATGGGGCAGTGTTGCCTGTGTTCTCCATTCCTGCTGAGATCTCACAGGTGTCAGTGTTGCTCTGCAGGCTGTGAAGGCTGTTGGTTATCGGGGCGGTTTACCTGTGGAAGATCATTCACACATCCTTGGTCTGAAGGAGGTGTGAATAGGATAAATAGACGTGCAGTAAGAAAAAAAAACCTCACCAACCTTTTGAACCATTTCCTCTCTAACATAATGGCTCTGGGGTTAAAAAGAACTTTCAAAAATCATTCTGTGAAGGTGATAGGAAGCCTGCTGCAAGCACTTGAAAGGCTTCATTTTCCAAAATGCAATACCATCTGTCTGTCATGTGGCTAATCAGACACAGCAATTCTTCCTGAGCTTTTTCCTTGGAAAGAATCAGGAAAAAAAGGAGCTATCACTTGCTCTGTTTCAAATTTCTCTTAGCAAGTACCCTACTTCACTTGGTGTGGGAAATGAGCTCTGGGAGAATCTCTGTTTCTTACTGATATTTTTGCTACCAGATAACTGAACGTATAAAGCAGGAAACAAACCCAGTCTTTGAAAAAATGCCACGTGTGTGCTGTTTCCACATTTGAGGTGTTTTGCACCAATCTGTTTTGGACTGCACTGTTGTTTTTGACTTTGTAATCTCTCTTGAAAATGAGTTCCTCTCAAAAGATTGTCTTTCATTTCCTAACCACTGTTTGAAAAATGGATCTGGTTTTAAATTTACAGCATCATAGAATATACTGTCAAACGTTTGACAAGTCTTCAATAAGAATATTGTATTAAATCATTATGTTTCTGACAATGATAAATAGAAAAAAGTAGGTAGCGCTGGTGGGAGGATTCTGTTTGGTTCAAGTTTTTGTTCTCTCTTCTTCCTCTTCTTCTCTTTTCCTCCTCTCCCCCCTTTTTCCCCTTTTTGTTTTGTAACACAGAGAATCCTTAATATACAGTAGCATCATCTGTGCACAAAATATCATGGAATCACAGAATTTAGGTGCTGGAAGGGACCTCTAGAGATCATTGAGTCCAACCCCCTGCAAATCAGGCTCTCTACAGCAGGCAAAATACAGATAAATGTGCTAGGAAAAGCTCACATAACATTACAGAAGTCAAGTTCCAGCACAATGTTGAAATACTGAGAAATATCAACATTTTTGTTCCTCTTGTAAAGTGTGGAGATATGCAACTGATTTACCTTTCTTCAAAAATTTGTTGTGCTTTCTGAAAGGAAATTTGTCAAATAAAGTAGGATTGTGTGAAACCAAACTGCTTGTAGTAGTTGGAAGACTTTGATGTGTTCCTCTTTTGGTGGTGTTTAGATTAATAACCTCATTTGGAATTTGAAAAAGGTGAACGACTACTACCAAGATTTCTTTTATCCTTATTGGTTGAATCACACATGCAGTCAAACTACTTGCAAGTTACACTTGTCAAGGACTTCTATGAGAGATGGACATCCAATAAATAAACATAGTTTGGTAAAAATATTTGAATATTACTTGCATTTAAAGCACTATGAAAAATTTAAAACTAAGTTAGTGTTGTGTAAAGATTGAGATTGCTGGTTCAATTTGCACAACAGTTATATTCATTTTACAGGTCATTTTACAAAACTCTGGTTTAGCATTTGCGCTTTATTCTGCTATTACTTACTAAATAGTGTTGCAAAAGGAACTTGTTCTCTTCTTTGGCATTTCTTCCAAGAAGAGTTATTTCTTTTGTTCGAGTAGTCCTGTATACTGGGTATGTTTGTATTAAAGTCGGTCAGAAGAGAGGAGAAGGCAAATATTTCTTACAGCTGAGACTGGTTAAATTCAATGCTCTCTGGTTTTGGCTCTGCAGTAGCTCCTAACTTAGAGGAATATTGGTGTGCTAACGTAGACAGTCTCATATTTAACTGTTTTCTAAAACATGTTGTTTCCAGGTATACAGAGAAGACTGCGAAACCTTTGGCATGGTGGTGAAGATGCTGATCGATAAGGATCCGTCGTTAGAGAAGTCCATTCAGTTTGCTCTGAGGCAGAATTTGCATGAAATAGGTGAGCGATGCATTGAGGAACTCAAACATTTCATTGCTCAGTACGATGCTGCCAACCAAGATATGTCAGAATCCTTCAAAGATGGCTCATACTAAGACAAAAATACAGTTAGAACTCTGCATACAGTACGTGCACTGCAATGCATACATCTGTTTCATGTGAGGAAAGGGGAGTTTGTGTTGAAGATTGGAAGCCAAGGCCTGTGCTACTTCATAGCTCAGATGGCTGTACCTTGCTCATTGCGGTCTCCACAGTTCTATTCTTTCTACCTGTACTTGTTGTTTCTTTGAAAACGATGGTTTTTTTCTTCAAGAGTTCTGTAAAGTGACAAGTTATGCAGTTACCTGGCAAAACGCATTCAGTCTGATGTTTGTGCACTTGCATTTTGATGTTTGTAAGCATAACCAGAAACACCACGTTTTTTATTAAAACAAGAATGTTCTTCCTTCCTTAGCTTATGCAGAAATATGTCCTGTGTTCATATATACTGTAGGCAAGAACGATTTGTAAAATTGCTCACAGCTATGATTTAATTTATTTATTATAGTTTAATTTTGAATTTCAGATGGATTCTGTAAAATTACACCAGGGTTTATGTCTAGTCTTTGCCAGAGGAACTCTGCCTACTTAATGTTAGAAGAACCTACTCTACTTCTGCGAATGCTTTTTATATGTTGGTTTTCCACACTGTATATCATTACTAGTGAGCAGTATTATGTAGAACTAAATCCAATTTTTGTTAACTGTTTGCAACTGTCTTCTTTTGTAATGATTTTTATTTTGAGCGATACCTTACAGAATGTAAGCACAGGCAGACACTGAGGAGAGGACTCTGTTTTTACCCTTTCCCCTTCTTATCCCTTAAACCTCACCATTTTTTGTGCAACAGTTAGGAAGCCTTGTAAATCTTCAGAAATCAAGAAGGCACAGGAATTTGGAGTGCCAAGATGAGGTCTGGGCCATCTCTCTATTTAGTAACTCCAAATTGCTTCAGATCAGGTATAATGTGAAGTTAAACCCTAAGTAGATCCCAGATGCGTTATCTCAAACCTAAATGATTCTGTAGTAGTGTAGTATCTGGAGCCATTTTTGACCTGATAGAGAGTGACTTATAGCTGGGAAGAATGGTTGAGTAGAGGCAAGGAACTGCCAGTGCTGTGCCATTGCGTTGCAGAGATGAAACGTAACTTAGGAATCGTTGGCACTGGTGGGTATCCTGACTGTTGGTATGTGTACATGGAAGGTGATACTGTTTTTCTTGAACGTTTTAGGAAGAGGGAGAATTTGAGTCATAGACAAGAAAAAGTAAACGATTGTTTTCTATGCATGTATTTAGAAACATGAAATTCTGTCCAATGGCCGACAACTAAAGCTCACCGTTTCCCATACGCACGGTATTAAATGAAAATGTCAATGGATTCAGCCCCTTATTAAGTAGCTTCTCAGATTACTGCCAAATGGTTTGCAGAAAAGTAAATACAGTGGCAGCGATTTTGCACATACAAGGTACTCGACCACAGCATTTACACAGACAAACCTTGATGTGGTGCATTAAATATATATTCCATCAAATTCCTGAGATGCCTGATTAGTTTTAATGTCAGGGCTGCAGGGTTAGGGAAAAGCTCACTGATCCTACTGGGTGCTGATCTGGGGTGGGAGATGGGAAAGAAAGGTGACCTGTGATGATACAGCAGCTAGACCTGACCCAGCCCTTTTTGCAACAGCCTGGCTTGTCCTGCAACCACAGGCAATGTTCTCTGAGACAGAAACGTCGCAAACAGGGCTCACTGTGGACCAGATAGTTTTTCAGGTGGTAGATCTGAGCTTCTGCTTTGGGTTAGAAACACTAAAGAAGAAAACAGTGAATTCATGCTTAATATATTTTTTGTCCATTGTTACTGTATGTTGTGTTAGGAGTCTCTTTCTTTTGTTCTCATAGTGAAATTTAGTCAGGCTTCTAAAAGTACCTGATTTTGCAAGAGCTTCTCTATAGAGCTTACAACACTGTTGTGTTTTTGCAGTTAGTCAGTAGGTCAACATCTTCCTAGGATGTTCTTAGCATTCTTTTGTTTTTAATTGATTTATTTTTACTGATGAGCTAAGGAGACACTTTTATTTTTATTTTTTTAATAAATGCTGTTTCTATGAAAGTGATTGGTGGCTGTTTTTTCCCTGTTTAATACTTGGCATGGTGCTGAATGTTCATGAGTAAACTTTTGTGATGTATCCTTGATGCTGATGTCAGTAAAATGTTACGCCACTGAAGCTTGAGCAAGAACTACATTTTCTTATTCTTGCTTCCTGTAGGAACAAGGAATTTTATTTTGTATCAGTATAAGAAGTTGTCCTTGGTCTCTTGTAGAGCCTCGAGGGGACTGCTAGAAAGGGGCAGGAAAAGCACTGACAGAAGGAACCCACGCTGTGCACCAGGAATTGTTCTTTGTCCCTTCAGGAGCTCTTGGAAACACAACATACTTCTAGGACTCATTAATGTGCAGATGCCCTTATAGAATGAAAGGGGAAAAGGAAGTGGAAGGAAACAAGGGCAGAATTAGCTGCTAAGGCTGCAGAGAATATGAATGAATCTGTCTTCTCAGTGGGGGTGAGCTGGCAGCCTTGAGCAACAAGTGGAGCAGTTAGGGTGGAAGTCAGCAATACAGCCACTGCAGGTAGAAGAGGAGCCAGTACAGCGTATCAGAGGAACTGCTTCCTTGTGACTCTGTTTCTGTGCAGGATTTCGTCTTTGGGAAGGTGAAGATGTGTGGCCTAAACGTTTCTTGGTATCACGAAGGTATAAGCTCCACACACAATGAAGGCACGCCTTCCAATAATGCAAAACCGAAGCTGTACATTCTGTACCTGTGTCAAGTGCAGGGAGTGGGCACTTCCTATCATGTGCATATCATTTCCTTCATATTAAGGTGGAAGAATGGATTAGAAACATTTCCCAAAAGAAACTGTTCAAAAATAACGAAGGAGCAATCTTTTATATCAAGCTGCAGAAAAACAAAACAATCTTACAGCCATCTTTAAACTTAGTGTATAATGTTTGAATTGGGTAGTAGTACAAAAAGCTGCCTGTTTTGTTACATGTGGTTACAGGCACCTGTTACTCTTCGCATGATGGGAATGTCCTCAGTGATCCTCAGAAAACACAATTTTCTAAGTGTTTCTAATAGTCTTAATTGTTTGTGGCCCTGCAGCCACAGGTGAGTGGTGACAGGTGACAGGACAAAGGGAAATGGCCTCAAGTTGCACCAGGGTAAGTTTAGGTTGGATATCAGGAAACACTTCTTTACAGCAAGGGTTGTTAAGCTCTGGAATAGGCTCCCCAGGGAAGTGGTTGAGTCACCATCCCTGGATGTGTTTAAAAACGGAGGAGGGAGCAGAGTGTTGTTAGGGCAGTATGGTTAGGTTGAGGTTGGACTCGATGATCTTTAAGGTCTTTTCTAACCTGAGCAATTCTATGATTCTATTCTATGATTCTGGGTAAGGAAGAGCAACGTGTCTCAAAGTTGAGGTACCTAAGCTAGCCCTGAGGAAGCTGCTCAGCCAGAGCACTGCTTCCCTGGGCACTGTGCTGTGCAGCTGTACCTTCAGCGAGTGTTGTCTCAAGGGAAGAGAGATCACAGCTCCTGCCTTGGGCTGGAAAGAATGGCTGCTTTTTTTCCTTTGGCTTGTTGTTTTGTTTTAATAACAGTATGGGGAAGAGAGTCATCTTTCAACTCATTTATCTGGAGGTTTAGAGAGAGGTGCTATGGAAGCGAACTCTCTGAAGACAGCTTAGAAATGACACTAGATATCTGCACTGAATAGTTGTGTTGTTTGAAAGAAAAAGAAAGAAGTGATCACAGACAGTGATTGGAAAGCGTTTATCATCTGATACTCGGTAAGGCTTTGTGCTTTGGGAGAGTATGTATGTGCTGCATCTCTGAAGATGGTGTAAGACAGTTTAGAACAAGTGCTGCTGGGACGTATCTGCATGAAGCCCTACTGCAGTAGCAGAGGATTTTGATGACCTGTAATTGCAAATGCAGTTAAGAATGGAAAATCCCAATCCGTGTTTGAGTATCTGGGGGAAAATGCTAACAAGTCAGTATCACTCCTCAAGTCCTGGAAGTCTTTAGCAGGCTGGCTGTTGTAATGTCCTTAAGCACAACCGCCATTTAGCTGCCAGAAAAGTAAATGCTGCCTAAGCCACCAGGGCAGCCTGCCAGCTGGAGGCATCCCGCAAGCTGCCCATGGGCCCCTGTGATGTAGCATGATATTTCTTTGATCATCTTTCATGTACACAAGACTTGTTTGTACTAGAAAAGGACTCGTATGGTGAATAACACCTCTGGGAATAAAGGATCTTCTGCTTATTTTACCCTGAAGAAGACAAGCAAGTAACAGCTATTTTAACTCAGCTGTAACAATAACTTCAATTTGTTGGGTGTGAGCAATACTCATGTATCCATTCCATCCCTTATTTCTAGCTGCTCTTATTCCAAAACTTTTTATATCCTTAAAAATGACTTCAGTTCAATCTGCCAGTTCTGTGTATGTAAGAAGCACCCGTTTCTTCATCTCTTCATTAATTACCTGTGTTCAGGTGGTCAGACAGCCTGCTGTTTTAGCGTTTACTATTTCAGTGGGCAGACATCAGTGTTAAGTAACAAAGTCCTGCTCTTTCCTTAAAATAAGCTTCTCTCAATGCTTTACCTTGAAGGTGAATTCAAGGCAACTACTTTACCAACTTGCCTTCTAGGACAACCCTGCGTCTCTCTCCCTTGATGTAAGCAAACATGGAGATGACTTCTGAGAAAAGAGGGAAACAATAAGAAAAAAAATCCACATCCACAGGAGTTGGGTATTTGTTGTACTGATATATTCCAGGCTTGTGTGGTTTTTACATTTATATAGTTTACATTTTGCTTGACCCATAAATAACACTTGCAAGATTAAGAGGGCCATAGTTTGGAGAGTATTTACAGAGCCCCACCATGCATACAGAGCTTTCAATACCTAGTAGACAAAATTAAGCTGTTTTGCACTAAACATTTTTCAATATTTTTAAACTCCCTGACTAAAATACAAGCACTATTTCATCCATAATGCTGCTGTTAAACCCCTAACAAATCTAGTTCGATATCGTAACAAACTTCTTCAAATTCAGGGATATAAAAATATTCAGCTTTTAAAAATCTTAACTGTACAATATGTACATTCGTATTTGCACTGTTAAATTATGAATACATTTAAGCCTATGAAATACTACGTCATAAATAGCAATTTTTTTGATTTAGAATTGCAACTAATACGTTTTAAAACCTGGATAATACATTTGAAAAGACAGAATTTTGGAGCCTAATCCTTTAAGCCCTTATGAAACTGTTTGTTATGTAAGTAGATTCATTGACTTAAATGGGGTTATGTGCCTGAGCAAAGGATCCCACCATTTGTACCTTTCTCTTTCAGTGCTTTGTTGCGGAGGAAATGACATAAAAGCCATCACTGCTCACTGGCAGTCAAGTCCAATTCCAACAGCTGAATTAATATCTTCCTTTTAACAGGCACAAAAAAAAACCAAACCAACACAGGATGGAGTTATTTTAAAAAACAACAAAAACTGGAAGGAAAAACATAGAAGTTAAACATGTAAACCCTTTACTGCTGCTTTAGGATGCATCAAGGCCTCAAGCATTTCAGCTCCCACAGTCCGATTTTTCACACCTTAATGGGGGAATCTATGGAAAAGCAGCTTCTTCCTAAGTCAGTTAAAAAAAAAATAATAATAATAATTCCAGTTTTTGTAGGGAAACATCAAAGAGGAAGAATGAGTTCTATCGATGAGGAGAGGGCGCTGTCTGTAGCCCTCTGTTTGATGGAGAGAAGTTGAGTATCACCACGTACGGGTATGTACAGCTACAGTACAGGTCTGACAGTTTTATTTATTGATCTTCACCGAATCCTCTCTCTCAGGTAACTGAATGTGGGTGAATAGAGAGCGTAAAGTAAAGTCTACAGAAGTCTGTATCAAGAACGCAGCAACAATATTTTGACAGCTGAAACACAGTATGTAAACCTAGCGAAATCTGAACAGATCATCGTTTGGCATTGTGACATTTCTCAATGTTACTTTACTTTCACAACGTAAACTGAATGGGTTATCAGTTAAACTGGCAAAGCATTAAGAACCTCAGCAACTTGCCTAAGTACAATTATTAATATAAAAAGATGTGGTTCAAACTGTTGCTAGAGTTGACTGGTCTTCCCCACTGTTAAAACAAGTTAAGAAATGATGCAATTTTTCCCTTTGTGTCCCCTCTTCTTCTTCTTTGATTTGGTTGTCCTTTGTCCGAACTGAGAACTAGATAACGCATTAGTTGGACCAGAAAGGTCATCTGTGTAGTACGGGTATCTCAGTGACCGTGGCTGCGGAATTGGCTGTCCGAGGAAATACCCTTCCTCTTCAGAATCTGATGACGAGGATGAAGTTGAGCACCAGGAGTCATCTTCCTCACCATATAATCCAAAAAATTTATCAACCGCCTGATTCCTCAGTGCATAATCAGAACTAGTATGGGCATACTGGCCGTACAGCTCTGCATTTTGAATATAGGCCCGAAACTCACGTGAGCTTTTATTTTGAATAAATTTGTCATGATCCTGAGGCGAGTAATAACGAAACCTCTCTTTTGGAGAGTATCTTCTTTCTGTGGCCAAATTAAGTGCATTGTCTGAACGAGATTTCCTACTTCTTCTGCGGTGATGAGAAGGTCGATTTCCACGTTCTTCAAAATGATAAACGCGCCTACGAGTCCGTTCACTCATTGGAGGTTGTCGAATTTCAACGTTCTCGTAGCTTCCATTATCAATAACATCATCTGAAAACTTGACTTGCTGTGGTCTAGACTGGGATTTAGATCTTCTCAGTACAGGCACATGCGCTGGCTTTTCCTCTGGTAATGCTTTTTCCTGGCACAGCTCTGAGCTCAGACTCTTCAAAGACTCTGTGCTCCGATGGAGCATTGAAGAGTTCAGAGTTCCCATGTTGCTCATCTTCTCACAGTCCTCTACCTCCAGTTCTTGGAAAGTTTGCAAAGAATAGAGAGATGGCCGTGGCTTGCCTTCTCCATCCATTGACGCCCCTGTGGTGGGAGTGGAAAAAGAAGGAAAAAGGGTATTATTAGAGGCGTATCAAAGAAATAGGTATCACAATGAAACATTAAGAACACTTCATGAAAGCAGACTTTGTTAGTGTTATGCAATGGACACAAGCTAAACTCTCTCTGACCACTAGGAAACACGGAGCACTGGCACAGGCTGCCCAGAGGCTGCGGGGTTCCCCTCCTTGGAGATCTGAAGCCACCTGGATGTGGGTCTGGGCACCCTGCTCTGGCTGTCCCTGCTGAGCAGGGGCTGGGGCAGGTGGAGCCAGAAGTCCCTGCTACCCTCAGCCATTCTGGGATTTTGCTCTTTGAAACCATTACGAAAAGGACTAGCTTCACATAAAAGTAACTAACTATTGTTTTTACTTACTTTAAGAACTTGCTCTCACTAGGATATTGAGAATGGAAGAAGTTTAGTGAGTTTAAAATATTTAAACAGCTCTAACACGCATAGAGCTAAGCCTCTGAGAAAAGAATTACTTCAAGTTATTCTATGTAGGTCCCTCTGAAAGTGATGCATTGTACTGATTTCTGTGGAAACTACAACAGACACGAAGAGCACAATAACACTGCTCTTCAACAGTCACCACTGTTAACTGTGCAGTTTAACCAGCAGTGAAGAAGAACCTGCATGCTGTGCACATAAAAATCTGCCCTAGCAGAGGTGATCCGCTGTTGCCACTGCTGAAATGCACCACCTCACTGTGCTCACATCCACTGGTTGGTCTCCAACACTGAGTTAAGCGTTGATGGATGGCAATAGATGCATTTTTTTTTCAGCATGGAAGAATTCAGTGACAGATCTTTGCTCCATACGCACCTCCATGTCAAACATCGTTGTGTCAGACTGCCCCTCTGCTGCCATCTGTCTCACAACAACAACATGGGATGGAATATTGGTGAGAAGGTTCAACCCCTGCTGAGGCTGACCACCTCCACCACCACGGGCCAGTATAATAAAACAGGGGACATTACTCTCAGAGCAGCCCTCATAGAATCCATGCTTACCATTTTGTAAGGCTTAACTGCTTCTGGTATCACTAAATTCAGTATTCCAGCCGTTGTTCCGAAAAAGCTAGGCTCCCTCTCAGAGAAGGATTCTTACTCTCAGAAAGTCATCAACAGTAAGCTGGTCTGGTTTATTCCGGCTTTGTGTCAAATGACCCTTCTTCCTCAGAACAAGAGTTTCATTCGCTCTTTAACCCCCATCCAAATGCAGTGCCTGTGATTCCTCCTTCCTTAACCCCTACACCTAGCTCCTTTCATCATTTCCTTCTTAACTGCGTGGGTAACACAGCACACGGCTGGGGCTGGCTCTGACCTATAGGAGTAGCTAGAATCTTTCATGCTGCAGAAGGAAAGCAGTTTGTCTCTTTTAGCCAATTCTCAATTGTCTTGTTTTGTGTAATTTTTGTTGGGAAATAGAGATGGGAGGGCGACACACAAAACATGGACATGCCTGAATATCTGACTTCTATCCTTTTGGCTAATTTCAGTCACATTTGACAAGGAGGTTCACAAAAGTGGATTATGTTGCTCTTTAGTCAACGGAGAAAGATAATCTCATAAACCTCATTTCCTAAGGCTAAGAAGGTTACTACTATTTCAGATTTTCTACATAATTTTACAAGCAAATCAGGAAATCTACAGTGTTTTGCAGATTACCTTTAAAATTATCCTAGCAAAGAATGCAACTTCCTGTACTTAAGGTACAAAATTTGCTTGAAGCAGTGGTTTGTATATAACATGCAGAGTTCAAGACCGCTTTTACTCTGCTTAACATTGTTTACGTTGTCTCCTTAACACTGTTTATATTGTTGTCATTATAAGCAAAGAGAAAATTTAAGCAGAAAAGGATTTAAATAGAATTTAAATAGCACAAATAAATCTCATGGAAGAGTATGTGCTTGATAAAAGCTATTGCTTACTTTACGTATATCTCTTGCTGTGAAAGCTTTTTAAATATCACAGATATAAGCTTGTTTCAAAACATACAACATCCTTGCTTGATTTGACCTCTCCATCCAAACCATTCGGTTTCCCCTGCCATTACCTGTTATGTTTGACAAAGCCAAGGAATCCATCGAGTCCCGAACGCTTTGTTCTTGCTGCTTCAGATCAGACAAACATTCAAGCGAACCTCCATACCAAGGTGTCTGGTCATGTTTGTATCCTGATGCCCCATGTTCCAACTCCAGCTCCTGGATTTTTCTGCTGCTGGCAGGGCCTGGATGGCTGCCATACGCAGAGTCACCCAAACCATCTTGCGACTGGGCCCAGTACATGTCTGATTGATATTTCTTACTTGCTAGGCTTGGGTTATTTTTTTTCAAGTCCAACTTGCTCTTGACCATGCTATCAGAAATCCAGTGCTCACTTGATCTAATCTCTACTTCAGCAGGTTGCTGGAAAAGGCTTTTGTCACCAAACTTCAGAAGAAGTTGAGTCATGTAGTCTTCATGTTCAGCCCATTCTTCAGGGTCTTCAGGCATTTCTTGCTCTACCCTTCCTTTCCAGAAGTCTTCGTTAACAAAGCTTGCCTCTTGCCTTGAAAGGCTTAAATCATCCAGCTTACGAGAAAGCGTATCGTCAGCATTGCCTGAAAGACCAGGAAATTTATAATTGAGGGCTGGGGACAGGAGGAGAGACTGGCGGCACTGGTCAGCCGAGCGGCTGCTTTTTCCCATGCGAATGCTCCTCCTGGAATCTCTCGATCGAGCAGACTGGAATGCTGAATCAGAGGAATCGGAGGCGTGAACATCTTCACCCAAGCTGCAGGTTTTTGAACAGTAGATCTGCCCTTGCTTTGGAAGGAAAGGGCAGCCAAGCAAAGAGGTCTTGCACTGAGCACAAGAAAAGCAAGTCTCTGTAGCGTGCCAGTGCTGTCCATCATAGGTCATCTGAGCATGGTCAACACCTAGAAAGGGAGAAACAACAATACTTTGAGTTCTCTCAGAAATTACTTACAGAACCTACAGTTCCGGAATGTATTTTTTGTTTTTTCAAATCGGCTTTCCCCAAGTTTGTAAGTTTAAGACCTAAAAAGGACATACATACCAATGTGCTCCCCACAGGTCTCACAGTATTCTGCATAAAGAGATTCAAAACAGCTACAGCAGAATGGGCGCCCATCCTTCATGATGTATCTCTGCCCACCCAGGATTGTTTCACACTCGAGGCAACAGAAGTGTTTCATGTGCCAGTGGCGGCCTTCAGCTTCTGTACACTCATCAGCAAAAATTATCTTTCAAGAGATAAAAATGAACTTTAATGAAAGTGGGGAAAAAACTCACCTCAGGACTCAGAGCAAACAAAATATCCTACTTGCACAGTTAGCACATTGAATTTATTTCTCTTTAACTGGCTTTTGAGTACTGTGATAGAAACAGCAATTTCCTATACTTACTGTGGCATTTTGATCTTTTAAACAGCAAAGAAAGAAAAAAGACTACTTTTCAAAGCAATAAATTAAAGGAGGTCACAGAACTCAACAAATAGCTGCTATTATGATGACATTTTTAAATATCTCTACAGATTCTTTACCTAATTCAATCTACAAGACTCAATTCTAAATACAAGCAGGTACGTGCTTTCTAAATACAATCCCTTTGCTTGTCATATTGCCATTTGGACGAAAAATGAAACACCCCTCAGCTTTCCAACACCACTATGCACCACAGCCCTTACTGCTTGAGGGAATGCATCTGCTCTTAGTAATTGCCCAAGCAAACGATGCAGTTTGTTAACAGAACAGTAACAGGTGGGAGGATTGAATGCAAAGTGTGAATTTTACCTCATCGCAGGCTGAGCATCGAGGCTTAAGTAGTTCAGCATGGTGTCTGCCGCAGTGAATTTTTCCATCTTGGTAGAAGTAGATGAGGTCAACGAGGAGCTCATTACACGTGAAGCACACAAAGCATGATGGATGCCAGCACACACCAGGGCCAGCTCTCGAGGCAAAAACTGCAACTTCACCGCCATTTATTTTTGTACCACACTGGGAACAAAAACCAACAAGTGAACGTGCTTCCAATCACAGACTGTTAGCTTAAAACACCATGCCCAACACAAAGGCTTTATTTCACAGAACCATAGAATGGGCTGTGTTGAAAAGGACCCCAATGATCATCTATTTTCAACCCCCCTGCTATGTGCAGGTCCCCAACCACCAGACCAGGCTGCCCAGAGCCACATCCAGCCTGGTCTTGAATGCCTCCAGGGATGGGGCATCCACAGCCTCCTTGGGCAACCTGTGCCAGTGTGTCACCACCCTCTGTGTGGAAAACTCCTTCCTGATATCTAACCTAAACCTCCCCTGCATTAGTTTAAACTTATTCCTCCTTGTCCTACCACTATCAATCCATGTAAACAGCTGTTCCCCCTTCTGTTTACACGCTCCATTCAAGTACTGGAAGGGAGAAAAATTTTAGAGAAAATAATTATATTTTGACATTCTGATGAGAGAAAAAAAAAAACCCTAGGTTTTGGGCTGGGCAAATTCTGTGCATCAACAAAACTTCTGTGAACAGAAATTTATTTTATACCCAGCAATATTTTGATATAAATGCCTGTTTTTCATTTGTCACTATTTCAGTGCGAGTCAGCGACAGTAGAAAGTACATCAGACTCAGTTCACTGCTAGTATCAAAGGTTTTGCTTTTGCTTAAGCAAGCACTACTTTCATTCTATTTATGTGCCATTTCAAAAACATCCTTTTTTTGTGTGTGCTCAGGCATAGACGAAATAAGACTGCATTTACTATTGGGATACTGTAGTTATATATCACTGAGCCCAGTGCTGGGCTTGTGGCTCCAGCAGTATTACCTGTTCACAGACTGCATGCATCACTGCTCTCGAGAGGAGTTTAATAGTGCCTCGTCCCAGTGCCTCTTTTTTGCGCTGAGAACTGAACATCTGCAGTTCTTTCTTTTCTTCTTCGCTTAAGGACTGGCAGTATCTCACCTTCCAGAGAAAAGGCAGGAGAACTTTACTTTAGATCCCGAGCTTTTAAAAGAGCACCTCAAAAAAATAAGCGTATAACATGCAAAAAATGTATCAGGAATACTGGCCATCACCATTAAAGCTCTCTAGCTTGTCTTCTTTACAATCTTAGTATTCAGTTGTGTTATGGCATAACACAAGCACAGCATAGAGAGAAATTTTGAGTTACAAGAAAAAAAGAACAACAACAACATGCTTAACTAAACAGTTGTCCAGACAAGAAATAAGACTTTAAAAAAGCCAAACCAAGAACTGCTGCTGCCCTAAAACAAAGGAATTAGCCTGAATCAGCCACAACATCCTTTAGATTTATGGTAAAGTGCCTACAGCTCAGCACTGCAGCACACAGGATCTTAAGCATTGACACCCCCGCCCCTTTTCTTACAAACAGCTTGTTTGTTATTTCCACTTCTGCTCCAAATTACACCGCATATCTGAGATGCAAACCCTTTACTGTCACAAAGCATCCTTTTTGTGTGCTACAATGAAATCCCAAGAATTTGTAGGTTCCTGGTAATTGGTGGGTGGCTGCAAACACTATAAAGCCAACTTGTGTTAAGTTTATTGCAGTGACACCAACCTTCCCGACAAGAAAAGGCAGCGTCCTCCCAGACAGCTCTTATCTGCACACCAGTGAAACGCAGTTAGACACCAGACTCTGTACACAGCAGGCTGGTTTATAGGTCAGATGCCAGCACAAGAGAAGTTTCAGGCTTGTAATAAGTACACAGACAGGTAATTCTCCATGTGGAAGAGGCAAGCAAGGCCTCACTCCTGACCGTGCGTTCCCAGGTTCCGTTTACCTCATTATCGTGGGGTGGCAGCTGATAGAGAAGTTGTTTAATCCTGTGCTTCTCTCCGGGGCTGTTAACATAAGGGACCTTCTCCTCTGGCAGGCAGGCAAAATACAGCTGTACCTACATAGGAGGAATGGAAAGTCAAACCAGGAGACGCACAGCACCCGAGCACCCTTCAGCTACTGTTTTATCTCAGGTCTCATTACGAAGGAAGCAGGCTATGCTACATTAGACCCGTGACAGGGCCTGTGCTGAAAATACGAGACCCTGATGAACCAACTCAGCAAACCTGGCTGGCCTCTGATAAAACTAGCACCCAGCTGCTGAATTGCTTTTCTGGAATGCAATTTGCAGTGACAATTAGGGGGTATCGTAAATTATGCACATGTAATGTTCTCATTACTCCCAGCCCCTTCAGGGCTGGTCAACAACCCTGTTGAAATTCCAAGTTTCCCTCTGCAATTTACCACACAGGGCACGAAGCTTTCCAGAAAACAGCCTCTATATAAACAAATTTGATTTGCTCTGCGCATTTTACACATTGCTGAGACAAAAGCTGTTTTGTAGTCTCCTGCTGATCAGGTTCACCCAAAGCATCAGCTTTCATTGCTTCCATGTGGCCTTTGGTAAGAAGGTGGAAACATCCTTCCCCCGGGAGGAGGCTGGGTCCAGCCACATTTCAATCGGATGCAAATTAACCGTGAGGTTTGCACGGGCTGCGTGTTTTTGATAAAGAAATCAATATTAGCTGTACACGCCTATCAATCTTCACTCTTTTCTTTTTCCTTTCCAGAAGAAAATGATGACAGGAAAACTGTAATGAACACTGTGACAAAGCCCAATGGCAAAAAATATTTTTGTGGAACGGCTGCAGATTTATTGTTTTTCCTATGCAGTTTCCAGCTTGTCACGAGGCCTGGGGCAGTAAACAAGAGCCGACTATTGGCAAAAATATTACTTGCCATCCAGATGTAAATAATGCTTAGGTCAACAGCTTATTACTGTGCGAGACAGATGAAAAAGAAGCAGCGATCGGTCACTTGACTCAGGAAGCAATCAAAATCATATGGGGAAGGTTGCACAAAATATTATTTGACTTTCATTTAACCAAATTTTTTAACATCAGAAGTCTACTGCAAGCCCACTTAGCGCTGAGTGCATTTCAAGAAGCTGCAGGAAAAGATAAAAACACACGGTACAAAGTGAAACTTTAAAGGTACTTTATGCCCTTTTCTCAGCTTTTTGCCCTGTTCTCAATTTAAGTCATTCTTCTTAAGGGAAAAAATATAATGAGTTTGAATCTAGCTAGATTATGGGGATACTTTATGGAATGTATTTAATTGTTCTGACAGAACAGTTAGCTTGCTGTTTGCCTTGACGTCTGATTCATCAGGATTCTTATATATGCTTAAGCGGGCAATAAAGAGAATTTCCCTAAAAATAGCCCATCATTTGCCATTCTTGCTGATCTTACCTTATTCATTAGCAAGAAAATGTCTGCACTGCAAGGAAGATGCATCCTTTGCATCTCCATCGCTGTGGGCTCCAAGAGCTTGGCAGCTGCCTGAGAGTGGGTGGCTCTGCCACACTCAACAAGTGTGAAGAAGCACCTCTGCCTACCTAATAGCATCTGAGCTCTGGGCCTCACTGAGTGCATTGCTTCAGTGCAATATCAAATAAATGAATGCTATCAGAGGTTCAATTTCACTTCCCATACCAACCTTCTCATCAGTAGATCTACTTTTATTTCTGCTGCCACTGTGACATAACACATACAGAGGGAAGGGGAGAGGGGAAGGCACAGCCCAACCAGCCCACAGGCACTGGCCACAATGAAGGTAAAAGAGAAATCCTGGTGTGAACAAATGGCAGGCATACAACAATTTTAAAAAGCACTAAATGCATTTGTGATTGTCACAGTGACAGAATACTTTCACTTCTGTATGCTGTAGTAATGCCCACATTCTCGATGTCAAATGCCAAATTATTTGAAGAGCGGAACAACTGCAGTTATGTACTGACCAAATATCACAGTATGACATGAGTTTCAATTCAACCTAATAACTTACCTCAAAGAGAAAGCACATTTCTGTGCTACTTTAAGACTCAACAATACATCTGTCTCTGTGGCACGTATTTATTGAAAAATCCTGACAGGGAACAACTTTGTCTGTTTAAATATAAATGCAGTGTTGAGGATTTTAAGGTCCCTTAAGGCAGCCTCTTTGGAGTGGGAAACAAAACAAGGTGATGAGTTTTAGACGTTTTTATAATACAAGAATGTAACAGACTGTCTACTGCTCCCTTAGACAGACCTAATGAGTTATTTACAAACACAGAACAACAGCTGGTACCTGCTCTGGTCTGAGGCCTGGTGGGACCCAGGCATATTCTTCCAGGGCACAGCCAGAGTCGTCATCTGATGTTGAGCTTCGCTGACACGCAAAGACAAGATTGTTAGCTTTGGGCTCCATCTCCAGGGACATAAGTGTGAGCCGTTCAGTGTTTCAGCTGCAGTTCATCAAGCAGTCGATCTGCAGAAAGAGATTAACAGAGCTTTAATAAACTTCAACACGCAAAGACTGATTATCAATGTAAGTGATCCTACAAGAGTTTAGTATTCCTTGCATCGGCCAGAGCACGATTATTAGAGCATCACTGCAACAAGCAATTCAAAGATATTTAAAGAGCTCTCAAAAACAGGAAAACAACAAAAGAGAAAAGTGAAAATACGGCTTACTGAAGGGAAAGAAAAGTAACACCCACTACCATGTTTGACAGCTAACATCTATTTCAGTATTAGCAGCCATCTTTTACATTTCTGCTTGCTTCACATGTAGTGTATATAGAGATAGGAAAGACTCAAGACTCATTAACAAAATGAACGAGACAAGCTCCTTCTGAAGTCACTACTAATCTAACAATACAGAACACATGAAAACTGCTTGTCAAAAACTGATGAAGTTCTTGGGGAGAGACAGCTGTGCAAGTAGCATCCTGTTTTTAACACGGCAGGCATAAAGCAGTGTCTGCAACATTCCTTGTTTTAGCTGTATCAGAGCGGAAGGGTGTTGGTCCAGTTAAATATCTGAAATCCAATTATGGCAGATTAGGCTCTGTAAAATACATCATGATTGTTCTGTTAATTTAAAACCCTACAGGGAGATGCTTCTGTTGATTCATGAAGCCTACAAAGCCCAATATCAGTGGGATCATTTTGACTCACAACTGGCAAAAAAGGCATCTGTAACTTTCTGCAGTAAAAACCTTATTAAGATAAATATCTTACATTCATTCTAGCAGGAGTTCTTAGGAAATATCAGTGGAATACACATTATCAAAACCAGAGAGGATGTTTTCTGCCTGGACAAACATCCTGAACACCTGAGCTTGAAAGTGAGCTTGCCTTCACACTATGCCATGCGTGAGCTGCACCTTCTGTTTTAAGCACTTTTTTCACCTACCCACCTTCACAGAGACACAACTGTGACATGGCTAGATGCAGGCTGCTGGCAAACTGCAGAAAAACGTCACGTCCTCCACTTATAACCTTTGGGTCTACAGGGACCCACACTGCAAGTCCCATCACCACCACGTTAGAGCAAACAAGCTGCTGCTGGATTGCAGGGGAAAGGAAGGAAGCAGGGGCTCGTTCTCCTCTATGCACAAGGCACTGGTGAGTGCCACACTCTGCTTCTTCAGTACAACACACAGACCCAGACTTCTCAAAAAAACATGGCCACACACATGTGAAGTCAGCAAATCGGAGAAATGACGATATTTGCTACTACACATTCTGCCTATCCCTGCTTTTAGTATGTTCATACCTTCCCACACCCAATAAAAGAGATGACTTCACTGCTACCCCAAGCCAGTGCTTGAAAAAAGCACACTTTTTCTGTTTTGAAAACAGAGGTGCTGTTTTTTGGTGTGCTGCTAGGATGACAACGCACGATTACACTGCATGGCCACACTGCAAGAAAAAACTTACTGCATATCTTACGGGGCAAGCAGACCTGCCAACCTTCCCTTTAAAAACAGGCTGCTTCTCACAGAGCTTGTCAGACTTCAGGCATATTTTGGCAATCGGACTCTAGGTGAAAATGTGACTGTCCAGCGACTGGACAGCATTAGCAGATCAGTCACATTAACTGAATTCTGTTGTCTTACATACTGTTATAAAAGCAAGGATAGAGAGTCATGGACTGTCTATTGAGAATGCAGTGTATGACTGGAATCAAAGAAAAAGCCTCCAGAAGCTCCATCCTGTATACTTAAAATGCAAAGGCAGACATCCTTGTACAGACTAAACTCCCTGAGTTAATTTCCTTCGGAAACAGGTAACAAGACAGCAAGTGATACCAAACTGTGTCCCTGCCCACACCCTGGTGGAAATGAAGTCAGCCATCAGGTACATTTGTTGTTACAGTTCCTGTAAGGCTGGGGGTGGAGGAACAAGAGAATACTGTCACACGGGTATAAGAAATCACCACTAGCAAAAAAAAACCAACAATGCTGCCTACTGCAGGAGGACAGCGATGCTAGGGCTGGGTCGGCATCTTGTGCTCCACATCATCTAAACTCCAATAATTCTGAAGTCAGTCTGAATAACAATCCAGCCATCACCATGACGGGCATCAATGAGAAGCTCAAGTCCTCCTGAGAAGCCCCAAGCAGCCGAAGCGGTGCCTCACAACTCCCCATCAGAGGTAGCTGCACGGCTGGTTTACAACAGACGCCTCTCACTGAGGCCTGAGCTGATATTTCCAATTCCTCTGGCATTGTGTCACGAGAAGCTGCGCTGATCAAGCTGTCACTTTTCAGAAGCTGACTCCTGCCCCATGGAAGAAAGGAGCCACAAGATGAAGCACCTTTGTCAAAGCTTCACTAGGCAGACTGACCTCAACCACAGCAGCAAGGAGCAAACCTGACATCACATTCAGCCGGAGAGCCTGTCAGCTTTGCAGTCCTGGGGCACCAACACACCGGGGAACCGCAGCGCTGCTCGACACGGACTGCTCCAAAGCCTCTCTGTGGGATCACAGGATAACTGCTCTGCCTTGCTTTCTCCAGCTGACAAGAAAAATAAATAAATGTGACCCTGTGCAGACCTGCTAGCTTTCCTGGGGATTTTTGAGCGCTAAGGCTACGTGCTTCTTCTGTATGGCAAAAAGCAGCGCTGAGTGCTGTTAGGATTTCAAGCATACCAAAGGTACGCAAACACGGGATAGCTGCCTAATTCCAAAGAAAAGGCTTTCATTAGAGATGGAACGTTCTCCTTCTTCACCAAGACTGACGCTGCCTGGGTCACCTTTATCTGCTCATTTTGGGCAGAACAGGGCAGATCCACAGGCCCTTTCTTCCTGTGACACAGGGTGGGCTGGCAGTACAAACGGTAGGGAATAAAGGAGCAACACACCTGACCTCAAGCTGCAAGAAACAACTTCACAATCAGGGTGCTCCTCCCGAAATCAGGTGATTGGCAATGTTCAAAACAAGGTGCATAAATCTCAACAAGTCCAGATTACACAAAGGACAGCGTTCACTTTAAAAGAAAAAGGTTACCATAGTGCTAATACTGAGCCTGCTATAAACTGGCTGACAATACACCATAAAGCAGCATGGCCATGCTGCAAATACTGTGCTGCTGCTGACAGCGAGGTTTCTAAAAACAGCACAGCCTAACAGCAAGCTATTTGCCCAACTATTTCAGCAATTACTTGTTTAGAAGTTCTCCTTCCTTTCCTGCTGAAGTGTAATTTGGTTTGCATTTTCAAGCTGCAAGGCTCTTCCTCCCCACCCCCCAACTGCACCGCTTCTTCAAAGCGAAGCTGTTTGAAACGACTGCATCCTAAGGAGGATTCAGATGAACATAAACAACAGCTGAAAAAATAAGTGCTTTCTGAGGGATGAGTAGAAAGGTGGTCTTCTTTCTTCTCATGCCATGACATCTACATAACACTGCAAGTTCTGGTTTGTTTTTTTCAATTCTGCGGAACATTCTGAAGTTTCAGCTTTGCTCCAATACCACCTCACAAAAAAAAGCTTCCTAGCCTACAAGGAGATATTTCGCTGGCAGCTTGACAGCTATGAATAACATCACTGAGTTAAACAGCTAAATTCGATTTAAAAAGAAAAGCAATTATGACATTTTTTTCCACTGATGTACTAAAATGACCATATAGGACCAAGTTCTCAGAAGGAGAAGCAAAGAGAAACTGCGCTCCCAACTGCAAACCCACCAGCACACGAAATTCAGGGTATCAAACTTAGAGCACAGCCCTCAGACACCGGAGGAAGGTTATCCTCGTGCGAGGATTTCCAGCTCACCGATTATGCTCTGCTGTCACCCCTGACCAGATAGGAGAGGTCACGATTTGCGAGTACGGTTAGACAAACATCTCCTCGCCCACCCCCTGCTGTTTTACCCCGTCCTGCAGGGCAAATTGTTTAACGACTTTTATTGTTAGAACGCTTGTTAACAAGGCAATAGGGGATGCGAGATGCATATCACACACACACACACACACACACACACACCCCCATTCACAACCAAGGCTCGGCGACTTAAGATTAGCGCTGGCAGCCCATTCACCTGCTCGGCGCAGCCCTCCCGCCTCAACCCGCGTTCGGGGAGGAAGGGCGGCACACGGCAGCGATAACCGCGCGGGAAGCTCCGCACGGCTGCTCCCGGCGCACGTTACTCGGACGGCCGCAGTCCCGTTCCGCGGCCGCAGAGCCGTACTGACACGCGGCTCCAGGTGCGAACAGCCGCACCGGGCCGGCACCTCCAGGCGGAGCCGAGGAGCGATCCCTTAACTCTCGTCCCCTCGCCCCCCGGCGGAGCCCTGCAGCGCCCCGGGGACAGCGTGTCCGGGAAATGCCCACCCGTCCTTAAGGGCTGCACGGAGTTAGCGAGAAAGAAATCTCGCCTGCTACAGTCTCCCATTGATTTTTTTTTTTTTAAATTCTATTTTAAACAGCAGCCAGACTTTACTCCAATGTACACACGCGCTCAGGTTTCACTCCGTCACCTGTTGGCTCCCGAACAACACCCTTCTTTGTTAGGGCTCGCTGCCCTCATTTGAGACAAGTTTCCAGAGAAAACACTTGGAGAAAGCGTTCGATCCGTCACCGGGCCGGAGCCGCGAGGACGCAATTCCGCGGTGGCCTCCCCAGCTCATCGCGGCGCAGCCGGCCCCGACGGCCGGCCGGGCTGCGGGCTCCCGGCATTGAGGTGCCTCCCGTCCCCGCCCCCGCGGCTCCGCACCGCCGCCCGCGTTACCTCCTCGCAGCCGAGCCCCGTCCCGCGGCTCCCGCCGGGGCCCCGAGCATCCCCGCTCGCCGCTCACCTCGGGCTGCGGCGGGGCTCCCCCGGCGCCGGGCGCAACCCGAAGGAAGGGGCGGGGGGGGCTCCTCCTTCCCCTCCTCGGCCCGCCCGCCGAGAGCTACCTGGGCCGCCCCCCGCCCCGGGACCGGCCGGCCCCCGCCCTCCGTCCTCCGCCCTCCCCCCTGGGTTGCGGGCCGGGGCGGA